GCTCCAAAGAAGAGGGAAAATACAAAAATAATATTCTGGTCCGTGGAATAAGGAAGCAGCTTATACCAATAAGAAATACAAAAACTAGGGAGAAGGTGGACAGAGCAATAGAAGGCGCACAAAGGGCAGCCGCCATGGCGAGAACCAAAGTGGAAATTGCGAATTCAAGGTATGTAAATGCAAGGTGGGTGGTTTTGCTGAGTCGGATCATTCAAAATATTTTGTCTGTCAGTCTGCTGGTGACATCACAAATAGGTTTCTTCACTTGCCAAAAATGAGCCCAGTAGAATAAAAGTCAGAGATGATGTACTCGCGCTTTTCTGAAAATTTACATCACCCCAAAATGTTGAAGATTCATCATACTTCCTTTCCTGTTCTAACTTATTTAACAGCATGATGGTGTTCACTCAAACCCTATGCACCTCTTCCTTAGTCCAGGAAGTTACCTTTTTAAAGAACAAACCTCTGAAAGACTGCTACAGAGAGCTCTGTTTTGTGTGCCATATAGACAATCTCTCTCTGCATAGAAATATACCCAGTATTAATGTGTACCTTTATTCTAATTTGAGTTGAACAGTTGTACAGCTCCCCCTGTAAAATTATCATAAATTCAAACTTTATTGAAGTCTTATTGGTGAAATTGGTTTTAAGAAAGCCACAAAGATCTAGATATGTCAAAAGTAGAAAGTTAAGATCTAGTGTGTGTAGTTTTAAACAACAGAGCTCCTCTGAATGAGAAAGGCAAAGAGACTCAGGCTTGTAAGAATGTCCACATTCTGTGCAGGAAAGATTAGATCATTGGTATATTAAAAGGTAAGGGGTCCGGGGAACTTGACATGGACAGATGGGACACTCACTATGCCAAGGTTGGAAGAAAAAAGCAGTAGAGAAGGGCTGGAGTGGGAGAATAAGGGTGAATTGATAATGGGGCAGGAGGGTCAGGAGGACTTTGTACTTGAAGTTTACCATTAATATCTAGATTTGGGGATTCAGCAAGAGGGCTGGGGGAATATGTTGGGAATAAAATTTTATTAGGTATGAGTATCATAGGTTAGATAAAAAGAAAGGAAAAAGATTGGTTTTATGTGGAGATTTTGATGCATATTTAGGTAGATATCTACTGGCTGTAGTTTTGTGTGACTTGAAGCATCAGTTTGGCATAGAATGTTAAAAATTCTGTTTCTGCCTCAGTAGTAACTCTTCTACCTCTTTTTGAAACTGCAAAGTATTAGCATGTCTTCAACTTTTTATTCTTAGCATTGAGTTAATGGACACCTCCCCCTTTTCAATTGAACCTTATGAAATTTCTGATATCTTAACTTTTTGATGTACAAAAAAATGGGCAGTTTTATATGATTCAACTTAATACTTCTGGACTTATAGAGAGTTTGTTGTTGCTGCTGCTGTTTTATTTTTAATGCTATCTTAGGGTCACTATTTACTTTTGAGCATCCCAAACACTAATTGGAAAGTGAAAGAGGCCATCTTTTTTTTTTTTTGCACTATTTTTAGATAGATATTATCAAGGTTTTCCTCCTCATCCCAAACTGAATCCTATTTTAAAGTGAATGTTTCCTGTTCGCCAACACAAACTTTCATGAAGGATTTTTTTCCATCTTCTCCACAGAGCATCTTTTTATAAAAACTACTTTTTTTAGTTGTAGATGGACACAATATCTTTATTTTTTATTTGTTTGTTTTTATGTGGTGCTGAGGATCGAACCCAGGGCCTCCTGCATGAGAGGCAACTGCTCTACCACTGAGCCAGAATCCCAGCCCGAACATCTTTTATTGTAGATCATGGTTCTCTCTGGTCAGCAAATTTCAGTTTACTTGTCAGCTGGGCTACTTGGCACATCTAATCTTGCTGGTTTCTCTGGCCCTCAGCTAATTTTCAGAGCAACTTTATACCTTTTGCGGGGCCCAAGCCTCTAATTTTAAATGCATTCCTGGATTCTTCCATTTTTTTTTTTCACATTACAACCTAGCGTATACTAAAGGCAAGTTCATTCTTGACAGATGATAAACCGGTACAGACAATCTAGCAAATGACTTATTATTGGCTTTTATGACTAGTTTAAATTGGAGGAAACTACATGATACAAGGGGGCTACTTGTGATGCAGAGATGATCTCTGATTATGTTAGTCTCATGAAAACCCATTTACCCAAGTCCTATTCACATTCTCTCTTTTGAAAGATTTTTAAGGGTAGCATCATATACTTTGAGAGTACTATATTTTATAGTTATAACCTGGAGAGCTTTAGCCTAAAAATCTTATACTTTCAGACAGCTAACTACTACAGATTTCACTTAAGTATTTAATAAACACTCTTCATGCTAAATGCAATAAATCAGCCATGGAAGGATAAATACTGCATGATCCCACTTACATGAGGTATCCAAAATGGTCAGACTCAGAAACTGATACAGCAGTAGTTGTCAGGGAGTGGAGGGGGGAAATGGGGAATTATTGCTGATGAATAGAAAGTTAGTTATGCAAGTTGAATAATTCTAGAGATCTGCCATACATCACTGTGCCTGTAGTTAATAGTACCAGATTGTGCATTTAAAATTTGGTGAGGGCAGGTCTCATGTTAAGAGTTACCCCAGTTTAAAAAAATACTGCTATTTGGGTGACATAATAGAAAGATTAAAAATAGAAACATTCAACTAAACTTTTATATTTTGCTTATTTCAATTTTTTAGTCCTTTTCAGATTTTTTGCTATAATTTACTACTTCAGATATAGAGTTTTGCAACTTGTTTTTGGAGAGGGTAGCTGAAGGACTAATATTCCCCATGTATTAGCTCTTGAGTTTAGAATTCTACAGTCTTTTAAAAAAATTTTTTTTTAAATGGAAGATTTTCTTAAGGTTTTAGAGATTGCTGCCTGGAAGGAGGAACTTTTAGCTATGTTATTAATAACTGTGGCTCTTTATAATGCCCAAGTATTTGCAAAGTCCTTCCTGGTCCTTCTGCAGTTGCTGTTACTGTTGAGTTTTGGGTCCCCACCCCCCCAGTGCTGGGATGGAATCCAGTGCCTCATTCATGCTAGGAACACACTTTATCATTGAATTCCACTGCCAGTCCAATATTTTTGCTTTTAAAAACACTGAAAAACTAAGAACATAAAATGATGGGTTGTCCTGTCCCCAGCCCGGCCCAATCATATCAGAATAAGAACTAGAAACTAAGACTTCTGGAGCTTACTGCTATGGAAATCACTAGTTCACCAGTAGCAATACACGAAGATGACCACTTAATAGTTAACAGCCATTCAGTTTGTCTACCCAGATGGTGTTGATTTTGTTTCTGTTATTTCTTATGTGTTAGAGGCTTTTGTTTGTTTCTTACATCCCAGAAAATATGTCTGCCTTTGTACCTTTACCCCATGTTATCTCACCCCATTTTATCTTAAGCAGAAGATAAAAGTTGACTTTTAGGGACAATAACTGTAGACTTTAACAGTGTTCCCTAAGGGAGATAGGAGAGATAGAACCAACCACCTTTGGGATCTATAGACTTTGCTTTGTTTCTGTGAAGAGAGAGGGAGAGCTGTTTCTCCCAGTCAACACTTAGGAGGTAGGAGGCTTGTTTCTGCAGGATGGTTGTGCACCCTGCATAATTCTCATGATCACGTAATATGGGCATGACATAATGGTGGGTAGAAGACATCTCACAGTAGACTCTAGGTACTTTACTAGCAAGTCAAAACTGAAGGAATGTTCATTACTTGCTGAGTCCTAGGAATTTTCTTTAGGTTTCTGCTGCAATGCAAAAAGTACTGTGTTGATGAGATTTAACCAAAAAATTTTCCCCTTTTGTCTTGGTTGAGAGTAAAAATTACTACCCTTAACTAAGAAAAATCTCAACATTGTTTTTAAAGAAATGTTCAAGAGGTGGTAGAGCAACTTGGAATATATTGAGAATTAAGCATGCCTAGCTTTTACTAAAGCTACTCCATGCCAGTAGCTGACACGCCAACTCTCCGCCTGTAATGCCACCTGTCCTGTTTTATAGAAGCACACACTACCCTGGGGGACTTTAGGACAGGGAGAGCCAGCACCCACACCCAGGCCTCTCAGTCTTTCCTTCATCCACATTTACCCAGACTGTTTAGTTGGACCCTTTTGAATCACTGGAATTCTGTTTAGAGCATTGTAACTAAAATGAGTCCCCTGATACTTTCTAGAAAATATAATGGGCAGACTGTGTTTTGGTAGAGAAGACTGAAAGCTCCTAATCTCCAATCTGGAAGAGTCATGAAATCTTGTCTGGTCCAAGGACCTTAATTTCCAAGGCAGAGACTGATCACTCCAGTTTCGTGTGGTTCCTTAGGTGTCCAGTGGCTGTTTCCTCAGCTCTTACCTGTAGTAATTCCTTGCCGTCCCTGTCATTTCAGTCACATTTTTCATCTGGTTATTGTTGACTCCCATCAGCTTTTTTTTAAAAAAAGATGTTTTAAAGAAGTTACTGCTGCTTGAGTAAGATGATGAAAGGAAGAACTTTAAGGGAAGCCATTTGATTAAGAGAGCAAATGAGAAGTGACCTTTGGGGAACTGCACTTCTGTGGAAATGAGTATGGACTGGAGTAGAGCTCAGTGGTAGGGCACTTGCCCAATATGTGCAGGGCCCTGGGTTTCATCCCCAGCACCGTGAAGAAACAGGGAAAGAAATGAGATGATCTGATCATTTAGAAAGGGGTATAGTCAGAAGCAGAGCTTTGTGTGCTCTGAGCCTTGGGGGAAGTAGTTGCCATGCTAGAGGATAGAAGATACACAGGGAGAGTGATGGGAGACAGCTGCCTAAAGCAATCAAGAACCCCAAGTGTTGGCTTATGCTAGCAGGCCATATCAGACCTGTGAGAAGAAACCAGAAGGTGTGTGGGGGGTTAGAAAGGTAGTTAGAACTACTCCATTCTGCCCACCTCACCTGACAGCTTCACTCAAGCTAGTGGAGCTCACTGGTGCATAGCTGGCTGATCTCCCAGCATTCCCCTGAAGGGTCAGTAAATGGGACAGGCCCACCAATCATGTGGGACTGTGCTACTGCTGTCACCAACCTCTCTCCGACCATTAGCCACTTCAGGTGATAACAGTGGCACCTAGACAGGTCATGACCTAGACAGGTCATGTTAGGAAGGAGCCCTGTTCTCCCTGCTGCCCA